CCCTCTCGGTGCGGTGGCACCTGCCTCCGCCGCGGCGGCGGGGAGAGCAGTGCGGTGCGCCCTGGGAAGAGTAGCGCATGTAAGCCAGGTCACTGTGGGAGTGAACAACCCCAAACCCGCCCCAGGGCTGGCACGAAGACCAAGTGCAGCTTGTGAAGGAAGCCGGAAGAAGCCCCAGCTGTGGGTAGCTGGGGAAACTGCGTTGTGCCACGTGCATCATTGTATGGAGGGGCTTTTAAGCTTAAAATAGCGGCAGAATTTGCTTAGTATCCAAACATACTGTATGCAAAACAGTGAAAACGTTCTTGTTTAACAGGCTGCCCAGGGAAGTGGTGGAGTCCCCATCCCTGGAGGTATTTAAAAGACGTGTAGATGAGGCGCTTAGGGACATGGTTTAGTGGACATGGTGGTGTTGGGTTGACGGTTGGACTCGATCTTAGAGGTCTTTTCCAACCTCAATGATTCTATGATTCTATGATTCTATAAGCTTCATTTAGTTTTACAGGTATATGGCAAGTACCTTTACTTCCTGTTACTTCTGCAATCCAGTCTGGATGAAAATCACCGTAGTCACTTAGATGTAAGAGGCATTTATTTTTTTACAGCCTAAAAAGGAAAAAGACCCCTCTGATGTAACGACACAGCTGTAGTTCTTCAGGTGCCCTCACCTCTGCTGTACCCTGAGGAGTTGTGTCTTAAGCAGCTTGAACAGGCCCATACAGAAGTCTTAGCAGGGCACAACAGACCTGACGTGTGATTTTTTTTTATTTTATTTGAGTCATACCCTCCGAATTTAACCACAAAAATCGCCCTCCTCAAAATGCCTTTAATGTTAGGCAATTGAATAGCTTCACATTGAAAAATGTAGTCTTCAGCCAGCTAAAATTTGCCTTTTAGATAACTTCTATTAATGATTTTTAAAACGAATGCCAAACATGAGATGACTGATGTCTCTGTATTGGTTTGTAGTTTTAGCTTCTGAGAAGCAGAGCTCCAATAAAAGTAAATGACGACACAATATGTGACAATTATACAAGAGCTTGGAGGATCAGTGGAATTAAACTCTAGTTTTAAAAGTTGATGATACTTAATTTGCTGAATTCAAAGATGAGGCATCAAACTCAGTGGAATTTCACTACTTACCTCTTGTCTAAATGTAAATCTATGCAGTTTATAAAAAACCCCCATGTTTTCTGCATTTAGTTTACATGTGAACAGTGAAGATGAGTGTAAACTGCTGCTCGTGGTTGTAGACACTAAGCTCTACAGTGAGAAAAGTGCATTGATATTAGATAAGTAATGGTGTAGGAAAAGTGGGCTTCAGGGATGGGGAAGTAGAGTTTATCTTTATTTTGGCACTGAATTGTCATGTAGCCTTGCATAAGACACTTGGTATGGCTGCATCAATTTTCCCATTAGAAAGTCCTTTGAGAATTCTACATTTAAAAGCAAATCACCATGTTATATGCAAAGAAATATTAACATGAATTGCAAATCCTTTCTTTTTTCTTGAAGTAATAGGTGACTGTAATTGCCGCAGTGGTATTACTGGCAGAGTGAAATTTCTGCCTGTTGTAGCAATATTGATCGTTGTCTTTATCAGTTTTTCCTACTTTCTTCAGGCAGAGGAGAGAGTAACAATCCCATTGCATATGATTTGAAGAGACTAACAATATTGCTGTAGGTGCCTTTTGTGGACACATCAGAGAAGTGGTGACAGGCTGCAGTCTAAGCAGATTTTTTTCCCCTGACAGAGAATACATCTGGCTATGAAGCCTAATGCTGCACATCTGCAAAGAAATTAATTAGAGAGTGTGAAACACAGAGAAGATGAAAATGAGCTCAGGCTCTGAGCACAAGCAAAAAAAAAATTCAGTTTTATTTATTTATGTTTTTAGTGTGGCATCCTGAATCATCATCATGACTGATGTCATGCTTTAAAATAAGGGAGTACATAGGCAAAAAGGGAAAGGGATGAAATGAAATAGAGTGGAATTCAGCTGCCTAGCCTGGTGGAGAAAGGCCATGGAAACACAAGGTACTACCTAGCTACCCTGCTGCACTGAAACCATGCATGCACTCAGGCCAATGCAAGTTTGTACCACTGCAAAAAACTGATCTTGAAGAAAGCCAATTTCACAGTAGTAAAATAATGTTTTTCAGCCAGATCGGATTGCCACAAAATTAATAACACAAGGTAAAAGAGATCGAATGGGAAAGGTTGGTTGAGGTTGCAAGAAGCAGGAACACTTGGTGGTGGTGCAGAAATCAGTGCTGAGATTACGCTTTATGCCTTTATAAGCAACATAAAGCCAGATTTAGCTCTAGAAAAAACGAAGCTTGCACTCCCCTATCCCCAGCTATTCATTCCTACAACAGGGGAAAGATGGGACTTTCCGCAGTATCTCTGGTTGATGGTTTAAGGCTGTAGTTTCACATCCGTGTTAAAATCAGTGAAGTACGCTTGCACTGTCACTGTCATGTTTATGGAGTCTCTTGTTACTAGTTTTAACTTGTTCTTAGAAATGCTGGCTTTAGTAAGTGCTAGGGCCCATGCAATTTAATTTCACACAACTTCTAGTATTGATTCTAGCTGCATCCCACCAGTTGTTTGTATCTGAGTGGTGCTATCCCAGGCTGCTGTTATTGTCATGTTAATACTTCACAGATCACTAAATGCACAGACATGGCAGTGTAGGGACCTGTTAATTACTGTGACAGAAAGCAGCCTGCAATTCTAGAGCCACTCAGTGGAAATTAATAATTTTCAAATGGAAGTTAAGGATCCAGGATTTTGGAGCACTGAGGTACTTTATTCTAAGAGGACTCCCATGACTTTTCTTTTTTTTCCTGATCCTTTTACACATGGAAAGGGTGATTTGATCTCTTAAAGAAAAGTATTATATCTCTTCAAGCCCACATGACAATGGTAAAATTACAACAAAAGATCTATGTAAATGGATGGTGGGAGGCAGAATATACATGGCTAAAGAGCTTTCAGAAAATAGCTGCTTTGGAGCTCAGGAAACACTAGGCTTCCTCTGTCTGGACAGATGCCCCTAAATTTTAACAGCAGTTCAGCTTTGTACAGGTTGGATAGACAGACTGTGGATTTAGGCAGTAAAGATAATTAACTCTTGCTTGGCTGCTGAAATCACACTGTCAGTTCCTCTTGAGCTGCCACAAATACAAAAAATGGAAAACCAAATTCAGTGTCTTTAAAGATGCCTAGCATTGATTAGAAATACTTATAATAAAAAATTCTGAAGGCAATGCTGTTTTATTTATGATGGAGCAGTGGTCATGTGAGCTCTGAG